GGTATTTTATCGTGAAGCCCCTGACGGACGCGGCCATAGATTCCCTGTGGAAGAGGTGGAGGATGGGCGGCCAATTACCCGACTTATGGCTAAATTTCCGCTCGAATGGCAGTGGAAGCACTTTGATCAAAGGCCCGAATATTATGCTGTGAAACCCGAGGACCTAGACACTCAAGACCAGCTTTCGTACGAGAAGTTGTCAGCTTATGTCAAGAGTTTCTCCCTCGCGAAGTGCGTGGATGTGAACAACAACCTCTTGTTCGACGACGAAGGGGAGTATCTTTTAGTCAATAGGTTGATAAACACGAAGGCCTTGCTCGAGTGCTCCTCAAACGGGGAAGCCATGAGGCTTTAAGGTAGGGGACGTAGCCTAGTTAATTTGCTCCTCTTTATGCGGGAATATGCTCGTGCTATTTTTGGTTTTCCAACCCGACTAACGATTCTTTTTTATTGCAGGTCGAATGGCATCCCTTTCTGAGCGTCTGTTGAAGTTGAGGCCCAAGAACGCGTCCACCTCTGGGCCAAAAAATAGAGCTTCCCAACTTTAGGAACAGGTCAAATCTGCCGGTTGGGCCAGTGGTTCCCCTTCCTCATCAAAAAATCTGGCTTCCTCTACTGAGCCTGTTCAGATTCTCGTCAATGAGCCTGGGGCTAAAAGGAAGCGTGTGGATAACGCTGCGGGCATAACGTCTGAGGATGACAAAGTGCCCACGGGGGTCTTTGTATTGCCTCCTTGCTACCTAAACAGTGATCTCTTCAGCGGGGAGAGCTCCCTCGGTGTGTGCGAGGAGGAGATGGAGGCAATCTTGATTGAAGATAAGGAGGTTCGTCGGAAGCATTTGGCCGAGGATGTGGCCGCTGTGATGAGAGTGCTCGAGACAGCTCTTTCGCTAGACGATGAATCCTCGAGTGCTCAAGCCTATGTTGACACAGCCTATGCCAAAATTCACAAGCTGAAGGCTAAAAATGAGAAATTAAAGTGTGACATCCTCAACCACGAATCAAAGTTTGAGGCCCAAGTTCAGCTTCTCAAAGATTTAAATGAGCTGAGGCATCGATTGGAGGCCGCCACTAAAGAGAACGAGCGTCTGATCACTCGTACGACGAAGTTAGAAGGGATCACTTCCCCAGCTGAGGATGAGACCGATGCGGAGAAGGACATGGCAATCAGGGAAGATTTGATCGCTCACATCCGCGTGCTCGAACAAGACGTCGTTGATACCCTTGGCTACGACTTTAACACTGCCGTCGAGCAGCTAAAGATCTTGAACCCAGGGGTTGAGATAGTGGTCGAGGGAGCGGGCCTATTTAACCAAGTCGTTGACAGGAAGGTCCTTTATCCCCTTGATAGTAGCGATGGAGAGGATGAAGCTTGATTGTATTTTTTATTCAGGGTCTGCGTGTCCGCTGTCATTTCAGGGCCTGCGTGCCCGGTATCATTCATTTAGTTTTGTGACCGTCGTGCCTAAATTGTAATTTTGAACAACGTCGGCCCTTGTGGTCGGCATATTACAATTGCATTGCTTTGCTTTGATGCCCATATAATTGCGTTGTTTATGACTGTTTATTTGATGAATACTTGGTATAACCTTTGGATATATGTGCCCGACCATTGTTGTGGTCGTTTATGAATTTTCCACAAAGTTAGTGTTTTTCGTGTGGAGATATGTGCTCGACCCCAATATCAGTTCGACACACTTTGAAATGTGTCCAGGGCGCAGAGTGAGGATCCGCGGGACGGGCGTATGATCGTGATCGGGATCCTACGCCCGTGGCGTGAACTGCCCATCGCGAGCTGGGTGTTCTGCCATGTTGGGGTACTTCGACAGCAGAGCTCGATCGAGGTGTCCCTGTCGGGCAAGGATGTTGCTCGTCAAAATGAACAACATTCTGCTTTTGTTGGCTGGTAGGTCTCATTCGTACCTCGACTCCCCTACGTGGTCGAGCTTTTCCCTTTATCGAATGAAGATGAATATTTGACGGCAAAAGTCCTCAGCAGGTGAAGGACTTTAGCGATAATATTGTTTTAGCTTCGCAGCATTCCAGGATTAAGGCAGTGGTTCTCCATTTAATTTCTAGAGGTAATATGCTCTGGTGCCCATAGCTCCCTAGACGCGATAAGGTCCCTCCCAGTTTGCGGCCAACTTTTGCTTCGCGGGAATCCTTCTGGTTTTTTCGCAAGACTGGGTTGCCGACCTGAAATTCGCGTTTTATGACTTTGCTGTCGTGGCATAAGACTACCTGTTGTTTCAACGTGGCCTCGTGCATGGCTGCTCCTTATCGGATTTCTTCAACAAGGTCGAGCTCGTCTCTCAGAGCATCGTCGTTCATCTCCTCGTCGAGGGACATTTCAGTTTACCTAGATGACTCCATGATTTCTACTGGGATGACTGCCTCGACACCGTCTGTGGGAATCTTGCAAGTGACATTCATCATCTCTAATAATTTTTTTTAATAATGATTTTTTATTAGTTTTATTAACAATTTACATTTTTATTTAATTTTAGTAATAATATCTTTCAAGATAGTATTAAAAATAAATAATTTTATCATTATTTTTTAATATTTTTATAAATGGTCTTAATAAAAATGACTTTTTGATAATTTAATTTTTTAATATAGTTTTAATAACAATGAATTTTATAATATTTCAATAAATATTCTATTTACATATTAAATATTATTATCAAATATCAGTTAAAAGATAACATGAAACACTATATAAATTATAAACAAATTTAGAATATATATGATGGAATATACTATATGGAATGGAATGCAAATTAATAATTTTAAAGCAGAATCAATTGTATACTTGTTTCATATTAATTATTTAATTCATATAACACTCATTTTTTTCTTTTAAAATTGTACACTTTATTACAGTTTCATATTGAATAATACATAAAACTAAATATAATTAATTATAATATTTTTCTTATAAAATTGAATAAAAATAAAAATAAAAAATCTAAAAAATATATTAAAATATCAATTAATTTTTTTTTTGTAATTTTGAATCACTTGTAATAAAACAACACAATTCAAATAAAAAAATATATATTAAAGTTCCAAAATATTACAAATTTGTTATTAATGAAAATTATAACAATTTTTCTTTACAATTTCAAAAATTATAAACCAAAATCTCTAAAACTTAATTTGAATCATCAATCATGACATGCAGCAGAAAGATATAAGTATTTAACCTATGTTGAGAATGTATTATTTTGATCTATAGTTAACTTTGGATTATATAGTAAAAAAGGAAAAATATTCAAAAATGCAATTTATCAACTTTTGAGTGTTTATGGTATCTCTAACTTACAACGAGAGGTTGGTGTTTTCGAAATAATCTTGGAGATTTTGTTATTGCAGGGGTGGTTTGGGATGTTGGAATCTTTTCTATTTTGGAAGCACAAGTATTGGCTTTGAAGGAGGCTATTCAGGAAGCTATGGCGATTCATCTTGACCATGTGGTGTTTGCTTCTGATTCTCATTAAGTGGTTCATGCTGTTAATTCTAATTTCATTGGTAATTTTGAATTTAGTTTTATTGTTAGGTTCATTAAAGAGTTGTTACAAGGTTCTTCAAATTTTGAGGTAGAATTTGTTAAGTGTCAAGCAAATATGGCTGCTCATTGTTTAGTAAAAGGCGATTAATTCTTGGCCTAGGTGCATACGACATATTAATGTTATTCTTCCATGTATTGATCTTATTTTGATAAATGAAATAAGTTAGCCTTGCTTTTGTCACAAAAAAAAATGAACAAAATAGAAATAAGTCATTTGATCTTCCCAATCCATCTTTTCAGCCTATTAAACATAATTAATTTTAGGGTTAAATACCTTATACCCTCTGCCATATGAGCGTGTTTCGATTTATCCCCCCTTAAAAAAAAATTGTGATCCATCCCTTAACTTTTCCATTCAATTTACCCCCCCCTCACAAATGGCAAAAACCCCTCACAAATACAAAATTTGTGAGGGGACTGGTCCCCTAGCAAAATAGGGGGTCGCAAATATATTTGTGAGGGGCTTTACACGTCGGCATTTTTCCAGAGGCTAACCTCCTCGCAAATGCAATTTGATTTTTATAATCTGCAGCACACAAACGTAGGCGCAACCTAGGTGGTCAGCTGCTGCTGCAGTGCGTCAGAATTTTTGCTTGGGGTTAAGCCCCTGGAAAAATATAAATGCTTTTCCATTTGCAAGGGCTTAAGCCCCTGGCAAAATGCAAACGTTGACGTTTTCCTTGAAGTTTATCCCTTGAAAAATTGTAAAAATATTTATAAAAAAAATATTAATAGAATAAAAACCAATAATGATAATTCTATTAATTATATTATTATAATAAAATTAATATAATAAATATAATTAAACATAATAAATATAATAATTAAAATTCAATCAAACATAATAAAAATTAAAATAAAACTCCATGCAAATTACAATAAAGTTCTTAAGTTCAAAATAGTTAACATAAATTCTTTCATACAAATTAAAATAAACATCAAATTTTCAAATTTAAACATTCTATTCTTGTTCATCTTGTTATTCTTCTTGCTCTTCTTCTTCAACAATTCCTTTATATCCATTAGTTTCTCCAAATCCACCACTAGAATTTTGTGAAGCAAAAAATTGATCAAGTCTTTGAACCCGCTCATTTGCAATCCATATTGCTTCTTGATACTCCTGTATTTGCCTCCCCATTTCTTCCTGCAACTCTGTTTCTCTTCTCTATATTTCTTATTGCATCTCTAATTGTTTTTCTTCATCTCTTCAATTTTTACATTTCTTGCTGCTACTTGGAGTGCTGCCTCAGTATTCGTCAAGTTTCTCAGTTTCAAACATTTCGACGGTTAATATAGGTGGAGTTGATGTTCCTTCTCCACCAACAAGTCTCATTTTAAAACTCCTATCACGCTGCTTGGTAGTTTTGGCGTACCCTCCAGCATCATACACTCTCCCATTTTTCTTCTTTCCACCTGAAACATCATATCATGTCTGAAAACCCACAACAAGATCAAATGGATATCCCGGTGGCGGTTCAAGTTCAGGATGCTCTGACAACTGTATGGCAAGTTGTCTATCAAACTCCTCCTACAAAAAAATTAAATGTTATAATAATTCAAATAAGCTAGGTCCATATAAAAGAAATAAATAAAATGTTTTTAATATAATTAAAACTTACTTGAGTGTTTCTTGTGCGCTCGTCAACAAACTCTCTATTTCTCTTAAGACGAGTCTCTAGATGGAGCTCATTAAGAAGTGGAGTTCTACCCAACTCTTCACGCTAATTAAATAAGTAAAAAAATAATTAGTTATATGTAATCTAAAATATAAATGATAAGTTAATTAAAAAATAAATAAATTTACGTACCATCCTTCGTGCAACTTTAGCAACACTAATACTACCCGTTGCGTAGTTGCAACCATCAGCTTCAGATGCTTTATTTTTCTTTTCCTTTTCAAATATTTCCTTAAACTTTTTAGAACTCCAATGGGAAATAATATTTTGAAATGTTTCTACTCCTATTTAACGTGGACGTTGCTTTTGTTCCCATTTAATTCTAACATTCCTCATAGTGTCAGAAAATCAGGCACTATATTTTGAGTGAAAATTTTCTTCAATTTGGACGTCATCTCTAACATCCCAACGACACTTATCCTACATTATTGTATGAATTCAAACTTAAGAAATAAAGAATCATGAATATCTCAAAAAATATAAAGGAAAGATATCTCAAAAAATATAAAGGAAAAATATACCTTAAATGCATTAAACCAATTTTTTCTGTCATCTTCAAGTACAACTCCATAACTCGGCCAAAATATTTTATACTTCTCTTTAATAATGTATGTTATGATCGATATTTCCTGATGGGGAAAGATCATAAACACCAAAATCTTGAGTTAGAACTGATTAAATAAAACTCAAATTTAAAATAATATAAAACATATATAAACACTTATGATCCAGAGTTAGGCCAAATGACAAGTCTGCCATGATAATATCTAACTTTTTGTGGCTCATTTCTCTTCAAGATGTGCTCCGTCCTTGTTTTCCCCTCAGTAGAACTTGTATCTTCTTGAGCATTGGTTTCTCCAAGAGCACTGGAATCTCCGGGAGTAATGGTATCTCCATGATCATCCTTGGAAGGCATGGGTCGGGGCATGCTAGATCTACCTAGCTCCATATGAATGGATCCACTCGACTGCATGGAAGGCATAGGAAAATATGTACTGGGTATAGTAGAAAAATATAGTGTGTATCCAGTAGGACTAATAAAAGTTGTCGGGGATATGGACGGGAATGATGTGTATCCGGAAGGTGTGGATAGTAATCTAGTGAAAGATCCAGACATAGGTGGAGTAGTATGCATATGAGGTGGAGTAGGATGCATAAGAGGTGGAGTAGGATGCATATGAGGTGGAGTAGTACGCATATGAGGTGGGGTAGAATGTGGAGGATTATTTTCCACTTGAATCTATTGTGGCATAGGAATAAACAAATATGAATAAGGAACTTCCTCTATAATGTACTTGTTGTGACGAGGCTTTTGTTGGGAGGCATTTTTCTTGGGTAACATTTTTTCTATTTGAAAGAAAAACATTAAACAATGAATGTTACATAAAAGATAATATTACACAAGATAATGTATATTTGAAAGATAATATTACACAATATTATGTTGAAAGATAATATTACACAAGAGTTATTACATAATACATATTCAAATTATTCACCATCATAATCTTCATTGTCTTCATCGGATCGAAAGTTATTGCCTTCAGACTCTCCTAGCTCTCCATGTTCTTCTTCCACGGGATTTGTTGATAACAAGATAGTTGCATCAACTTGTTGAACCTCAACTTCAGTATCACACAAACTTATAACCTCTTTAGTTTCAATTACCTCATTAACAATTGAAATCTCATCATCTTGGTATGCAACATCTTCCATTATTTTGTCAGTATCAATGTGACCCATTGGGCTGGACTTGATTACAACACAACATCCTCGTTTGCGTGGGGTAATTGAAGGATAAAGTATATAATAAACTTGTCTGACATTGTGTGCCACTATGAAAGGGTTATAATTTTTGTACTTTCTATCTATTCGAACCTCAACGGTGTTATATTTTTTTAATCAATTTTTGTTCCTCTAGAAGATAGATCATACCAATCACAATAAAACAAGACAACTTTATTTTCCGAGTCCATATAATTATAGACCAACTCTTGAATATGTGTGATAACCCCATAGAAGTCTTCTTCATCATCTCCTGTAAATCATTTTACGACTACACCACTGTTTATAGTTTTCTTCCATTCACTCCAAATCTTAGTGTGAAATTTGTAACTGTTTACAAAGTATGTGCGCCATTTATTCACACGTTGACGAGGGCCTTCATACAAACTTCTCAAATGTATTATTTCAGGACTTGATGCAACAATACATGATAATTTTTGCTTGAACCATGTTGGAAAATAGGCATGTGTGTAACCAGTCGATGGTTGTTCCCCTGTGCTTTGATAATAGTATGTACTAAATTCTCTATTTCGGAAAAAAAATATAGGTTAGAGAAGGTTACAAGTCTTAACCAATAAAACTTATATACTTAATTAAATATACTTACTCTAGATATGGTTTAACTTCAACACGGTTAATTAACACATGAACATGGGTTTTGTACCCCAAATTTTTCCCTCTCATTGATCAGATATTTTCTCATAAAGGATCTCTTGGTTCAAGACTGCACTAGGGTTGATCAGCTCAAGACACCTCCTTAGGCACTGATGACCAAAATTAGGGTTTGAGATTGCACAAGGATATTTGAACTTTCAATGCTTCATATGACTTTCATGGATCATTATGGACCCCCAATATTACTCATGTCAAGTTTCAAGCCTTGGATCACACTTTTGCTCAGTCAATGGAGCAGCTGACCTAAAAATCAATTGTATTAGGGAAAAAGTCAACTATGGCCAATTTACAGTCAAACTTCATAATTTTTTATCCACATCAACATTATAAACTCATATGTATCATTTGGTCAAGTTTGAACCATAATTCCTCAATAAATTTGATCAAATCATCAAAAGAGCAAAATGGTCAAAATTAGGGTTTTGACTGAGAAAGGGCAATTTCTTATTTTTGACCTAGCAAATGGTCAATTGGTTTAAAGCATGATTTCAAGAGTCCAATTGCATCATTTTAACCTAATGGCATGACCTAAAACATTGCTCAAGATCAATTGGATTGACAATGAATTTTCAGTCAACTGATCAAAAGTCAACTGTACACTAAAAAGTCAAACTTTGACTCTTTGGTCAAAATTCAATGTCAAAGAATTCAATGTCAAAGATCACAATTCATAAAAAACATGTCAAAATATGAAACTTATTAATCAAGAATCAAAAAGTCAAGATTTCATTTTGAAAAGTCAAAGTTTTATAATAGAAATTTTTTTAAGTGTTTAAAACTTCATGTTTTTCATAACTTTAAGCCAATTTTTCACCATGATGCAAGAGGATTCAAAAGAAACTTTCAACATGAAAGTTGTATATCTCCAGGATATATATAACATTGCTTCATACAACTTATTCTAAAAATGCTTGTATCTCAATTTATTAATTCATAAAGTTATGGTCTTGAAATTGGACACTTAGTGAAATTTTGTCCTAGTTTTGGTCAGGATTTTGACCTAACTTCATGGCACTTTTTCATATAGTTACAAGGGGAATTTTCAAAAGTGATTCAAAGAGGGGTTGTAGAGAATATTACAAGCTTTCCAAAATGTTCATGAACTCCTTGAGATCATTCTTGAGCATGGAGAATCGAAGAGATGAAGTTAGGGTTTTCACACTTGAAATACAAGTCATTTTGTGATGAACAAGAATTCAATTTCAAACCTATGCTGCACAATATTGCTTTGCAGGCCTCTAAACCTCAAGATCTCTCCACAATCAGAAGATTACACTTGCTTTTGAGCTATTATCCTCTTGATTCAAGCTTTATCCAAGCAAATTTTCCATTTATGGCACAAAGTAACCATTCCATTCTTGTAAAGAAGCTTTAATCACAAAGTCAATGCATAGAGCTCCTAACTTGTTCCTTCTGATCACAAGCAATGTCAAAGGCAAAATCAACATGTCTAGAGTCTCCCATAAACCCAGGCCATGCTTGTACTACACATTGAAACTTGTTTTCCCACTTTTCTTCAAAATCAAGTAACATAGCCATAAATCTATATCTTGCTTTTCTGACCTCCTCAAGTCCTCTAATATTTTTCATATAACCATACAAGTGGATTGCAACATAACACACGATTGAACAAGCTCCCAAACTCCCTGAGAACTCAGATTGCATAAAACCTCCATCTTTGTGTCATTTTTTATTTTGAACTTCAATCTTCAAAACCACTCGTGCATTTCTGGCCCTTTTGTTTCAAAAGCTTCCTCATACCAAATATAAACCATCCATGTCCCTGTTTGCAAATTGTAACCTCATCTTCATCAACTTCCATAGCCAAAAACAGAGCATTGTAGTTGGACTTCTCCAGGCCGTTTCAGCCACCCCCAACTCAAGCCAGCCATTGCATTAGCTTCCTAGAGGTCCAAGGAAGCTAACCTGATCATCACCACTTCCTGAAACAAGCTCAAATCCATTTTACGATTTCCAGTTTTGAGGTATTTTTCTTGAACTTCTATCTTCATATTCAGGCATCATTTGAGTTTAATTTGTGAAGATAAAATGTAGATACCATTGCCACGAAGTTGTACATATCTATAATTTGCATTTATATGGCCTGAGCTTAGAGAATTTTAGAGTTGAAGTTTTATGAAATTTTTAGGTTTTGAATTAGGGCCATAAAAATTATCATTCATCTTTGATTGTTAGCTTAAGGTATTTACATGGTTGGATTCGTGGGAAGAAATGCCACAACTTTCATGTTTGAACTTTTCATTTTTGTTGAGAGATGAAGAAGATACGGGTGCTTTTGCTGGAGGTTGAAGATGAAATGTAATCAGAGCGTGTTTTGTATTATATATTTATTGTTTCAATTATATTAATGGATGTATAGCCACCCCAGTGGTAAAGAGCGCGCATGTTCACCCTTAGGTCTTGGGTTCAAGCCCCAGCGTGACCTTTTGCTATTTTTCACAATTTTCCGACTTTCTTTGATTTGTTTGGCAGCGCTTGGGCTCTCATTGGGCTTAATCTTTTTTTCTCATAATACTCCTTGGGTTACTAATACACCCCCTGAATTTTTCTTTATTTTTTTATTTTTTATTTATTTTTTCTTCATTATTATTATTATTATTATTAATATTAATATTTTTATCATTATTATTATTAATATTAATATTTTTATCATTATTATTATTATTATTTTCATAAAAATCATTAAAAAAAATCCAAATTTATTTTTATTTATTTTTTATACTCATGTATTTTATTTTCCATAAAACAAAACACTAAAAATATTTTCTTAAAGACAAATTAATTTCTTTTCTCCTTAAATAAATTCTTAGGCTTAGGATAAATTAATACATTATTTTGTTTTTTAGTTAAAGCTAATTTAGAATTTAGGTTATTTTTATAATTAATCTTCATTTTATTTTCATTAATTTAAAACCTTTTTCATAAAAAACCCTAAAAATCCTTTTCAAATTAATTTCTTTTCTTAATTAGTTTAAGTTAATTTTAATTAATAATTTTCTTTAATTAGCTCAAGACAAAAAAAACTTTCATAAAAACAACAAAAATCATCTCTTTTCTCCATTTATAGAATTTTTTTTACAATAACCAAGTATTAAAATAATATTTCGCAAATAACCGCGTTTCGGAAAAAAATACGCAAATAACCATGTTTCAGATGACTCCCCAAAGGAGGAGCCATCTCACTTGGTGCCTCCACCCCTACTTTTGCCCTAGGCGCCATCTCACTTGGCGCCTCGCTTCACTTTTAGCCAAGTGAGATGGCGCATGCTCCTTAAAAGTGAGAGGAGGCGCCATCTCACTTGGCTCCTAGGGCAAAACTAGGGCAAAATGTTGTTTTATAAATAATTCGTCTGTTTCTCCGAAATTTCGCACACTTTCTCGCACTGTATTTTTATTTTTTACTCTGTTATTTGCGTCATGACGTCGCCCATGATTTTTAGCAGAGATGGTTACGTTATCTTCTCCGCCACGAAACCTGCGATGAAAATGAAATTCTGGCACATTCACTCCATGGAGCGTCTGAAGCGGGAGTTGATGCGATGGCTAGATGGAGACATTGCGGAGGGGGAAAAAATTCGAAGGATCCAGCGAAAATGAACAACAACCTCGCATGCGACAGGAAGACCTAATGTATGGTTGGAGGAAGTCAAAACAGACAGCGATGTAATGTTGATGATGCATGGGTCAGATGAAATTGTGTTAACAGTTGTAATTTCG